CAAACCTTTGCAATGAGTTCAAAATAGCAAAATAGATTTCTCCTGTGCAAATCCTTTAAAGGATTTTAAATTCTATTAGTTAGCTAATTTGAAAAGAAAAAATAAAATAGCAGGAGCTCAGCATATGGACAGAAGTAGATTTTCCTACCGTGCATAAGGCACTGGATTTGATGCCTCGCACAAAATAAAAAATAAGCCACTTCTGAGCTGGAAAGATGGTTCAGCAATTGCGAGCACTGGCTGCTCTTACTGAGAACCTGGGTTCAATTCCCAGCACGTGGTGACTCACGACCCTCTATAACTTCAGTCCCAGGTACTCTGATCCACTCTTTTGGTCTTTTGGGCACTGCATAAGTATTGTATACAGACAAACAGGCAGGCAAAAGACCCAAACACACAAAATAAATACATTAGATTAAATTTAAAAAATAAACCCAATTCTATCCTTACAAAGAAAATGCTGACACGAACCACAATATGGATAAGTGTAAACACACTGTGCAAACTCAAGTAAACCAGGCACCAAGGTTAAAGACTATACGATGCCACTTATATGAAGCCCATGAGGGGTCAAATACAGAGGCAAGTGTGAGGAGTTCAGGGACACAGAGCTCAGCTGGGGAGATGAGAAAGTTCCAGAGGTGAGAGATGGTGACGGTCGAATAACATCATGGATGTGCTTAATGTCACAGAACTATGCATTCAAAATCAACAAAACAAAAGTTTTTCAATATATTCTAATTCAATTGTAAAAATCAACTATATTAATTTACCTTTTCCTGTGATGTTCTCTTCTGTTTTATTCAAAGGTAGCCTCGGAACTACAGCATCTTGAGAAAAGTCCTTCGGGCAGAAAAGAAGAGAGTAAGACTAAATGAGCTTTCCAGTACCACTAACGAGGTCACAGCGGCAGCCCTCTGACTACCGTGACCTAGGAGGCGGGTCTGCACATTCTGTTCACTCCACTCAGAGATTTCTCAATGACCAAGCAATGGGATATCAGAATAGTGAATGAGAAAATAAGCAAACAGAAATGGCACAGGATTCTGATTCAAATTCACATCTGAACATCTGAGTTGCTTCGGCTCAATGTGATAACCTGACGCAAGGACGAGTCAAAGGGAGTAAGACAGCAAGGTTGTTTAACAGTACAACACGGCAGACTAACCCAGCTTTCAGGCACTGAGCTCATCTGTCTTAGGAAGCTCCGCTAAGTAGGTCCCATCTACTGTCCAACAGCTTTCTGCTCATGGGTGCAGTCCTAGAACGCATCTCTAAGACTGGTCGGTGCCAAGTGAGGCGAACTCTTAAGGCACTAGGTCAATTCCACGCTGCTCTTCACCTTCCCTTTTTCTGCCAAGGCATAAACGGGAAGGACACAAACAGGGCTGGGACGTGGTGTAGCAGTTAGAGCACTAACTACTAAGATAAGCAGGAAGACCAGAGCTTGGATCCCCAGAACCAAAGGCTGAGGCGGGGATCCCCAGGAGCAGGTGGTCAGCGAGCTCTGGGACTGAGAGACTCTGACTCAATGAACTAAGGTGGAAGGACACGCCTTTAAATCCCAGCGCTTGAGAGACAGAGGCAGGTGGACCTCTCTGAATTCAAGGCCAGCCTGGTATACAGAGCGAGTTCCAAGACAGCCAGAGCTACACAAAGAGAAACCGTGTATTAAAAAAAAAAAAGGAAAAGAAAAGAAAAGAAAAGAAAAGAAAAGAAAGGAAAAGAAAAGAAGAAGAAGAAGAAGCCAGGCGGTGGTGAAGCACACCTCTAATCCCAGCACTTGGGAGGCAGAAGCAGGTGGATCTCTGTGAGTTCAAGGCTAACCTGGTCTACAAGAGCTAGTTCCAGGACAGGCTCCAAAACTGGAGTGAAACCCTGTCTCAAAATAAATAAATAAATAAATAAATAAATAAATAAATAAATAAATAAATAAA